TGTAGTTGGCTGGACTTCGGGCGTTTTCCTGCTTTCGACAGGTCGAGCGGGAGAAGATGCAGATGATTCGGCTTCTGATTCTGACTCTGACTCGGAGTCGGAAGAGTCCTCATCTTCAGAAGAAGACGAAACTACTGATGAATCGTCGTCCTCGGACTCAGAATCAGATGGCGGAGGAGTAGCTTTCTTCTTGTTCTTCTTATCCTTCGTAGTCGCAGGCGTGGAGGATTTGCCTGTTCCGTCGATCCAGGCTCTTTGAGCCTCTGAGGGCGCGTCTACCAGCTCCAGAGCTCGCCTGGCCTTGGCCTTGCCAGTCTCAGGCTCAACAACGACACCGTCCTCGTCAACCCAGCCCTGACCATTGACGTAGTCGACTGCAGGCTTCGTTGACAGGGCGACCTGTGGCTGCTTCAGGAAGCTGGGAGTCTTGATGTTCTTCTCGAACTCGTGAACCACCACCTCATTTATCTTCGACTTGTTCTTTTCCTTTTTCTCCTTCTTCACCTTCTTCTCGTCCTTGTGCGCAACTTCGGTCGCAGCCACGGGTGTCAGCTTCGCCTTGAAGAGCAGCTCAGCATCCTTGGTGTACTTGGAAGGTTTCCGCTCCTTCTTCTCGTCCTTGTCACGCTTGTCCTTTTTGTCTTTCTTATCCTTCTTGTCCTTCCTGTCCTTCTTCGACGGCTCAGTCCAGCCGCGCTTGACTTTCCTGTCGTCTGGCAGCTCTACACCTTCCAGCACGCCCTGCTCCCTCTTCTTCTTCTCTTTCTTCTCCTTCTTTTCTTTTTTCTCTTTCTTCGCGCGCTTCGAGGGGCGTTCGGTATCCGCCACCTCCTTCGCCGCGTCAGCCTCTGCCAGAGCTTTGCGCTTCTCAGGTTTCGCCATCTCTATCCGCACTTTTGCGCCTCTCAGGATTGTGCCGTTGAGCTTCTTCTTGATCTTTTGAGCTTCGGGTTCGGGTAGCTCTACGTAGCCGAAACCTTTGTCGGGGAAGGTCGCGACGGTATGGTACGAGATATTCTGCGCAGAGGGGAGGACAGACGGCGCGACGTAGACCTTGAGCAGGTCGGGGCGGAAAGGCGTAATGTGCAGGCGGACGACCTTGCTTTCGGGTTGCGCTTCGGAAGGGTTAGGCGCTTGTGCTGCTGGCATTGGGTCGCAGGTTCGCGCGCGTGCGACAGGTGGAGATGACTGTGCGCAAAGACTCCAGGGCGTCTAGAGCAAATAATACGGGCTACGAACTTGAGCGACGCCTGTAAGCGTCGTGTAGAGGTGTCGGGGCCGGAGGGGAAAGGAAAATGCTTAGCGCGACAAGGGACCCAGCTGTCTGGTCGTAGCGTGTATGCGGGCGGAGGTTTGGAGCTCCACTGTGACCATTATCATGTTCCTCGCGCGATAGACGTCTAGAACCACATCAGATTGACATCTTGTTGGCACTGCAATTGATCCGTCGCTTGTACAGATTCAACACAATATCTATCCTTGTCGCCACCACGATGCGGAAACCGCCATACCTCCTCTTCCTTCTCCTTACTTTTCTATCATCTCTCTCCCTGTCCCTTGCAGCCTGTACGTTACCCTTTTCTTCGTATTCAGGCACTTATTGACATCTCATAGCGCGTACGTCGTTCTGCAAATGTACCTGCAAAGGCAATAGTACCATCATAGCCCTCGACGCGCCCAGCACGAAGAACCCCGCCGCCCTCGAATTGAAACCCCGCGCCTCCAAAAAGACATGTAACGATTGCACCCGCCAATTCTGCCTAGGTTATGGCGTCTGCGCAGGAGAGAAAGAGGAGAACGTGCTTACAACATGCTTCCAGAGAGATTCTGCCAAAGACCAGGCAGTTGTGTTTGTCTTCATTGGAGCGACGGTGGGGCTCTTGGGGTGGGCGGCATTGCGGCCTTATGTTGAGGGATGGAGAGAGGTACGTGTAGATGAGCGAGGCCGACTCGATCGGGAACTGACTGGAAGCAGCGTGCACGGGAACGTCGAAGTTACATCCCAGTGGCTGGTCAAGGGAACTAGCGAGTTGCAACACTGGAAATTGCTTGAAAATGCATTGAATGTACAATATGAACACGAAGCGAATATACCCAAGATGATCGTTGACTCCTTCATAACTGCTGAAGAACTCCATCATGCATACATCTAATGTGACAGCAATGTACAGGCTGAGGTCGTATATAGTACACTGAAGCGTCTGGCTTCCTTCTCCGCTGTCCTTCCTCTACTCTTTCTTCGATCCACCCTTCATGAATCCAAACCATCCCTTGCCCGTCTCCTCCACCTTGTGCACTGCCTTCTCCGCTGTGTTGTCTAGCGGCCCTCCGACTACTGGTGTCGACGATGTGAATGTGGATGTTGTGTCGTTCGCCCTGGCCTCTTGTACCGCAGCAGCGATGCCTAGGTTTGAGTTGCCTTGGGATTCTTGCCGCTTAATCTCCTCCACCGCCAGCTTTCTCTGCTCTGCGATTGCTTGGTCCTCCTTCCAGTCGCCGTGCAGCCACCACAGCAGCTTGGAGGGCGCCTTTCGCTCTGCCTTCTTCCTCTCCATTGCTTCTTGCTCCTCGGCGATACCCGTGACAAGAGCGGCTTGTGCAGGTGAGGCTGTTCCTGCTGCGACAGCATTGCGGGCGGCTTCGAGGATCCTGGCCTGGACTCGTTCCTCTTCGGCGAAGTAGATTGCTCGTTTCCGTCGGTTGTAGACGATCATGTCGCCTATTGAGAAGACTGCGAGGACACCGACGCAACCTGTTCAGACAGTTAGCATCGTTCTTACCCAATGACCAGTGCAGCCATTGGCTACTTGGTGCCCACATACCCGTTGCAAATATCAAGCCGTAGACGGTAAATCTATGCGCCGCATCCGCCGCCATTCTGCCGTACAAGTACATGTAATCCCACCTCGTCACCTGCGCCATCTTTGCCCTGTTTGCAGCCTCTCGTAACCGCTTGACCTTCTGTTGTGGCGTTTCGTTTTTCGGTGCGGGATCCGCGAATTGCAGCGTCGTTGCCCGCCCGCCAGGTCTTGTGTGCGCCCATACTCCGGTGGCTGTAAATCGCGTTGACTCTTTCGGTGATTTCGACATGGTAGGCGGAAGTGGGAAGAGCACTCGGAGGGGAAGTGTTGTGGGAGGACGATGTCGTGAAGACGGCGGAGCGGGAGAACGAATGATTCGATGATTTCCAAAAGTCGAGATGGACTAGGGTTCGATGCGGAGATTTCCGCCCATCTGCCCGCTAACGTACATCGTCAACCATACCGCTGAACTACTTATCAAATCTTCTTCGTGTGCGGATCGAGAGCTCGCTGACGAGTTTATTCGAGAGGGCAGCAGAGCTCAGTATGGGCATTGCAGGCCAAAGATTGCTTCTTTCCTTGCAATGTCCTTGATCTGAGCGCAAACAACACACGCCATGATCCAACGTGCCCGCCTTCAATTAACACCGCTCTTCCGATATCTTAGCATTGGAGAGTCCCTTCAACACCATCAAATCGTGCATTCACGCTATTGTCGCAGACATGGCGGAGAACGTCAATCAGAACCTGGATCTGGCACAAATTTTGGCTACACTTGCGAACCTGCCGAAACCGGACGCCCAGCCAGTTCAAGATCAACAACAGCCATACGAGCCCTACCAAAGTCACCAGGGGTACCCCGAGCCCCAACAGGCATATCCAAATCAGCAAAGTGCTCCGTATCAGCCACCAGCTGACCCTCGTCTGGCTGGTCGCGCGCCTCCTCAACATCGACAGCCACCTCCCAAACCACAAGACAGGGTTTCTTCTCCGTTCATCGATCCTTCTACCATCACGGAATGGAAACAAGGTCTCCGCTGTGTGAGCAAGATAGCGTCCCAGAACCCAGACTTTGCTCCTGCAGTTCGCAAGGTAAGGCATACGTCTCTTACGAACCCACGTGCAATGCTTACGAAATGGTCAGTTGATGAAAGATCAAGAGTCAAATGTCAAGTCTTGGGAGGCTGGACGCAAGAATCTGATTGATGAACACAAATTCAAGCGGGAGAACGAACGGACTCATCGAGCTGCACTGTACGTCACAAGACGTTTCTCATGATGTGTGACTAACGTTCGCAGGTCTCTACCAGGTCTCTTGGAAAATACACCCGCGCTTCGTGTACGTTCAAGTACACTTGTGCTGATGGATGATTACTGACGCGGCACAGACACCAGAGCGTGAGAAAGAGGAACTGGACCAATATGACGCCAAGGTATACCGAGCTTCCAAAGCTATGGTCGACTCACAAACATCATCACTCAAAGTCTTAGGTGTTCCATTCTTTGGTGTAAAGCCACATCTGGTAGTTGGCTCTAGCTACGACCCGACAGAAGTCACCGACTCGCAGCCGACGCCGGCGGGCGGTAAGATATCAAAAGAGCAGCTCCTCGAATTACAGCGGAAGATGCTGAACCACTTAATGGAGCTATATGGGGACTGAGGAGACCTCTTTACAGAATGGAGAAGCTTCGTTGCCACAGAACGATCTTTATTCTGCCAGTGCTGATGGTGGATGGTTGCCGGGCTTCGGACTTAGCTTTCTGATCCTAGACCAAAACGTTCTGTTCCCTCACCGTATCCGTTCATTCACCACCCCAAACAGCCTCTAACTGTAAACGCCTCTATAAAGCGGCATCGGTTCACGAAAATGACGTCACTCGCGCGATCCCACCAGCAGCAGTGGAGAGCAGAGCAAGCGCGAGTGCAAACGCACATCAATCTCCCATTCACTCGTCCCAGTAATTGCCCTCGACGCTATTGGCTGCTCAAGGGCCAATGGAGCTAGTGCCGTTGACCGCAATCGCTCTCATAACAACAAAACATTTACCTCTTTTGCAATCATCAGCTTCCACTCACCTCACCACGCTCGTTGAAGTATTTGATCCATTCCACATTCTTTTCGCTACTCACACTCGCTACTTCCCTCTACCCACTTCAACCCCAGTCGCTCCTTCCGATACAAACGTTCGCCCTCCAAGATGAACACTGTACGCGCACTCACCGTTGTCGCAGTTGCCGGTAAACAGTCTCCAACCAGCGCGCTTACCCACTATATCAGTCTGACTAACGGAAATGTAGCAGGCGCTGCCGCGGAGTCTGTCCAGTGGAATCCCGCTATCAACCACGTTCTCGCTCATGATGTAGCTGCACGTGACGACCACTGCGCCGAGCTCCCAAAGCTCTGCACAGATGCAGTACTGCTACGTGGCTATGAGACTACCCTCACCTATCTGTGTCCCGAGAAGACCGAAGGTCCGTCTACTGTCACCGTCACTACCACCAGGACAACCACTGTGACGGGTGATCAGAGCCTGACCTCTAGCGTTGCTCCCGCTCCCGCTCCTACCTCGGACGTCGGAACTGCTCCCTCAGTGCAGCCTCTCCCCCACAAACCCGTCTCAGCCACTTCGGACGTTGGAGGTCCTCCCGCAGAGGAGCCCACTACCACCGTGATCATCCAGTCAACCGTCCAAGTTACCGTCACTAGATCAGTCACCAAGGTCGCTCCCAGCTCTACGTTGTCATCTCTTCCTCCCCCGTCCATCACTTGGTCTTTCACCGCGGTCCTCCCTACCGATGTCAAATCCTCTCATGTCTCGGGCGGAACGTCGTCGGCTTCTCGCACCGAGCTACCATCAATAGTGTCGTCCGTCGGTCCGCCATCATCTAGCACGAGCAGGTCGGTTGGATTGTTCCCTAGCCATACTGTTAGCAGCTCGTCTTCGGTGGCTTCCACGTCTTGGTCACCTTCGACGTCTTCGGCGGCTTCCTCGTCTGCGTTGGATTCCACATCTTCGGCTGCTTCCACGTCTTCGATGGCGCGTTTACCGTCGGGTGGTCATCATGCTCCACCTTTCGCGAACGGTACCGCTATCAGCTACACCCCCGGCATCTTCCCCACGCTGAACGCAAGGGATGAAGAGTCCACGATGACTGTTACCTCCACGGTCACCCGCCATGCCTCTGACCACGCCTCGGGCACTATCCATGCCTCAGACACCACAACTGCTGCGGCCACTGAAACTAAGAAGGGTCAGGCTGGAGATAATAGGGCCTCGTTCATTGCCTTGTTCTTCGGCGTACTGGCTGCTACCTGGCTTATCTAGGGAGGCGTAGCTACTCCTCTTGGATAGCGGTATGGTTTATCGGGACGGAAACTCTTAAGCACATGTGCGACGGTGTTACGATGCAGTGTGTAGAGTATTTTCACGATTGACACGATATGTACATAATCATGGCAGCACATCAACTTAGGAAAAGACTGATCACCATGGAGCCTGTATTACTGAAAAGTCTTTCTAGTTCACTTACTTTATCTGAGTGGAGTCTGCAGACCTGTTCAGAATTTTCTTGCATGAAGCAGCAGTGCGACAGCCCTCTAAAGCAGATAGAGACATCACAAGGAAATGAATACTTGATTATATGAGTACTTCTTGAATTACAAGTGATATGGACCGGCATAGGTTCGGCGATGGCTGCAGCGACTTCAAACAGCGAGCTCTCCAGCAGCTTGCACAAGGAAGTGATCAAGCCGTGCAGTAACTTGCTCCAACGTGGGAGCATCTACTCCAACTACCTGCTGTGCACCGACAGAAATAGCCCACGAGCGATTGCGTACCCCCAATTCCATATCCTCGAGCTCTTCTAAAGCCACAATAAAATCTGCTCTTTTCAGTTCGAAGGCTTCGCCGTCAAATGCCTCCGAGCCCCATCCACAGTCGCGGTAGATCTTCTGCCACGCTCGGAAACGATTGATCCTCCGTCGCCACCCATCAGCACCATCTGAGCCATGGTGCTGTCTCATATACTGAATCGCGGCGGCCGTCTCAGTAGGGAGACGAATGCCTCCAGGAAAAAGGTTCTGGATAATAATAGGATCTTCCAAGATTTTTCGCGCCGGTGGATCGTGATCATCGTGGGGATCGTAATACGGAACCCATTCTAGGCTTTGAAACTTTGAGATGATTTCATCAAGCACATTCTCTGCCGGTCTCCTAGGTGCTTTCTCCCATTCGTTGCGGTCAGGTCCAACTGAAGACCACTCCATTATCGTTTCTGCATTCGGTGAACGTTCAATCTATCTGCTTGCAAGTAATTGACATACGGTCCTGTGTATCATAGATCAAGTCAGTACCGTAATGCCCGCTATAGGTATCACCACTTGTCAACCTCAACATATGAGGTGGCAGCAGCTTGGTATTCTCGTCATGGTACCTTTCACCCCACCGCAGATCCTCGACGAAATCTGTGTCACCGGAGTCGGCGAAGTATGTCACGGCTTTTGAGCGGGGAGTCAGTTCGACGCCGAACCACTGCCACCCTTCGACGATTTCGCTGCGCATTGCAGGGATTAATCTAATCAACTGAATGACCTCAGAATCCAGGCCTATCTTCTCGAAGATGGAAGTTGCGACGGTCTCGGAAGAGTGAGGTGGGCGAATGATATCAGATGAAGATATGTAGCGCATCGTGACGAAGAGATCGAGAAGCTTCGTCAGGCGGGAGATGAAGCCCGCGTGCTTCTCAGCGATCGCCTCCATTGCCGCGAGTGTTGTGGGAATGATGACGAGCTGGTGGAAGTGATGGATGGTTCTAAGGGCCAGGGGTCGTGCGCGTACCTAGGTAGCTTCGCGATCCAATCACCAGACGCGCGACCGCGACGAACAACCTCAGGCTAGCCTTCACCATCACTCAGACGAGCGGCATCGCCAACGAGCCTCTCCCAAGACGGCTACACCCACGGTCGACTTCCGCTATTGCACGGCCCTAACACGACTCTTCCAGCATAGATCGGTGTGCGCGCACCAGGGCCATCCCGCCGACACGACGGCATTGATCGCCTTCGAGATTCGGACACCGCCTACGCTCACGTAACCCTGCGAAAGCTACCGCGACTTCACGACCCTCTCAATCGCCAGACGCATCTGAATAAATCGGCAATATGGTCGGAAAGAAATCGGGCAGAGCCCAATTGAGGGAAGAGGGTACGGCATCGGGACACCACAGCGCAAACATGGTAACTAACAAGCCTGCAGGCCTGGAGCGAACGGACAACAACATGGACCTCACGACATGGCCCCAAGTTGGCATGATCAACCAAAAGAACTACTACACCGAGTTCCTCAAGCGCGACGAACAGTTCCTCGCCGTACGATACCCCAAGGATGAAGAGAGGGCGCGCATAGTACAGGAAGCCAGGGACAAGGATCGCGCACGCGCGTTGGGTGTACCGGCAACGGAAGGAGCGACACCACAGGTTGCGGACGAGACAATGGAAGATGCCGAGGTTTCCTTCGCATCAAGGACCGATATCTCCAAGCTCATCGTGATACATCCTGGCAGCCAGAACTTGAGGATAGGCCTTGGATCGGACGCACTCCCGAAGACTGTGCCTATGGTCATCGCGCGCAAATGGAAGGAGAGTGAGGACGAGGAGGATGAGGGAGAGCCTAGCCCCAAGCGAATGAAGGTCGAAGGCGCCGTGCCGGCGGATGCCCTGCCTGAGAAGTGGTTTGGAGAGGATGTGAGTATTCCAATTCTAGTCCCACGGGTGGTGCTAACTTGCGACCAGTTTGCCGATCAGTACATGGCCATGTCATCCGAACTTAGGACGAGGATGCGATCCAACAAGCGACGAGTGCTACCCAACTCGAAAGACCTCGTAATCAACTTCAACCGAAAATCACCCCCAGACATCATCTCCGAACACAACGACATCAACCGCATCGAGTGGACAGAACTACCTGCAGATCCCAAGAAGGCACCGGACTTCTTCACTGGGCACGATGCGCTGCGGATACCCGAGAGATCCAACCCACGATACAAGCTGTTCTGGCCTATACGGAACGGCACTTTCAATGAGAAGGACTATCGCGACCGTAATCAGATCTACCATGATCTCTCCAAGATATTAGAAGAGGCTTTCCGGAATCAACTTGGTATCACCAGGTTAAAAGACCTTGTCAACTACAAGTGCGTCTTTATCATACCAGACCTCTACGAGCGACAATACGTCACGATGATACTAGATATCCTCATGCGGGATCTTGGCCTTGGAAAGGTCTGCCTGCAGCAAGAGTCGCTTTCGGCTACATTCGGTGCTGGCTATGGTGTTGCCTGCGTAGTCGATATCGGTGCTCAGAAGACATCGATCTGTTGCGTTGACGAGGGCCTTTGTGCCGAGGAGTCCCGTGTCAACCTCAAGATGGGCGGAGCTGATGTGACGGAAACCTTCATCAAGATGATGCTCTACGGGCATTTTCCCTATGCCGACATGAACCTGAAGCGGAGATACGACTTCCTGCTTGCCGAGGAGCTGAAGCAGAAGTTCTGCTCTATGGATGAGGGCTCGGTCACGGTACAAACGTGGGACTTCCATCTTCGCGCTTCGGGCCAAGACACAAGGAAGTACACTTTCAAGACGTACGACGAGACTATGCTCTCTGTCATGGTTAGTAACTCAATAATCATGTAAGATGGACCCTGCTAACGAATTCAGGGTTTCTTCAAGCCCTCAATCTTCGAGAATGCCCGGAAACTAGAGAACAGGAGAAAGGTCGTGCCTCGCTCAGTCGATCTCTACGACGGCTCACCCAACGACCCCATCTCACAAGCACAAATCGCCATCATCGAAGCCGCAGCCGGTAAACCCGTCGTACCCACCATCAACGGCGCGCCAGAAGCCGTGAACAACACAGCACCCGCCTCAACACCCCAACGCCCCCAACCAAACCCCTTCAACCTCCTCGGCCGCCTCAACGACAACGAGGGCACACCCCGCTCCTCCGTCGCAGGCTCCCCAGGCCCCGAAGGCAGCAACACGCCCAACCCGGACCGCGACACCCCCATGGGCGACACAGACGGCGCCCCCCTCCTCTTCCGCGACCCCATCCACGAAAAGACCAAGCTAGCCGAAGCCCGCGACGCCATCCTCCCCATCCACTCGCTCGACGCCGCGATCCTCGAATCCCTCTCCCAAGGCGCCCGCGGCGACGACCGCAAACTGCGCGACTTCTTTGGTGGCATCATGCTCGTTGGCGGGGCTTCCAAAACACCCGGTCTACGCGAGTTCCTCGAGATGAGACTCCGTGAGTTGCGTCCTGGGTATGGTAAAGAGATTCTTGTGGGGCCGCCGCCAAGGGACTTTGATCCTCAGGTTGTGGCGTGGAAGGGGGGGAGTGTGTTTGGGCGGTTGAGCGGGCATGGCAATGATGGCTGGATTAGTCGGTATGAGTATGATATGTTGGGGGCGAGGCTGTTGAATAATAAGTGCATGTTTGCTTGGTAGGATGGAGTGAATAGGGATGCTGTTGATAGGTCTCGCAAGGAAGGTCGAGATGCTTGATCTGTTGGAGGGTGGGTGTTTAGATGGGTGGGTTATTGGGTATTGTTAGAGTGTCATGGGGTTGATGTGGGATGGTGAGAGTAGATATTGGTCAAGGGCGCATCCTGTTGGGTTCAACGAGGGTTGTATTTCTTGTCGAATCACCATGTGTTATGAATACTGCTTTCTCAATAGTCTCCTTATGGCCATGTTCCCCAAGTCACTGCAGCGATGTTCTTGATTACATGGATGTAGCTTGTGGGTCGTGATTGTATTTCGTCTCATTTCGCATACATTAATTAGTAACAACAGATGAGAGTCAGACTGCTTCGCCGTGTGACTGTCACATTCTGCTCCTGTAAATGCGCCGGCATAGCCGTGGCACCATCTTGCGTATGCATCGCACACACTCCCGAAAACCCTCTTACGTGTGGAAGCCACCAGCTTACAATAAGACATCGGCAGGCTCGCAGACCTTCTTGTGAATCTTCCAGTGCTTCTTCTGACACTCAGTGGAGCAATACTTGCGGTTCTTGCACTTGGCACAAGCAAGCAGGGCGTCACCTCCAGCTTTAGCCTTGACGCCACATCCGCCGCACAGGTCCGGCTTGTTGAACTGCTCGCGGAGCTCCTTGACGACAAGCGAAGTTGATGAATCTGTCATGCCAGTGCTGAAGAGACCTCCTGGGCCAGGAACATTCATCATCTGAAAACCCATTCCGTTGTCGGGCTCAGAGGGTCTAGCGTTGGCCTCTTCGGTGATGCTCTTGGATTCGAAATCGTAAGGAACTCCGTTCTTGTAGCCGTTCGGACCGAAAAGCGCCTTCTTCATCTGGCCCTGCGCAGCAGGCATGAGACCACCTTTAGTGTAGACCTTCTTGAGCATGGTGATGTAGGCAGCGGGGAGCTTGCATCCGAGAGTCATGGCACAAGCACCGAGAAGGACGTAGACGTAGGTGGGATCCGGTCCCCAGTTTCCGAACCACTTCTCCTTGAGGCCGACAGGACCAGCGAGCATCTTCGCCTCCTTCGTAGCGATCATGTCGACGAGGATACCGGAGTCGAGGTGATTGCGGATGAGTTTGGGGTGAGAGCAGTAGGGGGCGTAGGTGCTGTATGCACAGCAGCGTCCTGCTTCTTCCTCAGACTTGCCTTGAGCTCGAGCCCTGGCCTGAGCGGCTTCCATGAGTGGAAAGAGACCGGCTTCAGTATCGAGAGCTTCGACGATTTCGAAGTCGTGGTCTGACTGGAAGAGACCTGGCATGGTGTTAGTCGATGAGGTATTTGGTTGAAGTATGCTTGTCAATTACAGTATCCCCAGGCACCCATCTTGAAGGATCGATGCTTGTAGTAGTTGCGTACAGAGAATTGAAGCTGTGCGGTTGATAGAAGCAAGCAGTCAAGGTGGACTACTGGAGAGAACTGTTGACTGGGCTGACTTTTGCTGCGGGAGGTGAGTGAGGAAGTGAAGACGAGAGAACGCGACATGAGATCAGAAGAGGGTACGCGTTTCGTCACACGTCATATGGGAAACCAGGCTGCAATGTTGGCTGTCGAGGAAAGAGCGACGACGCGTGATCCCGTGACCCAGGCGCCTGCGCCTTCCTCACGCGTTGCCGTCGCGCCCTCGAGCAGCAAGGTAGACCACTTCCTTGTTTCGTCTCGTTTATCATCTCTATGATGATACTGTCAGCCTTGTCAACTACCACTGGAGTGTGAAAACTTCAGGCACGTTCGAGATGGACTCACTTTGCTCGTTTTCACCGAGAAACCACGGGCTGAATGACTGAAGATCAAAATCTGATATTAACTACTGATTAAACAATATAACCCAAAGCATCTATGCATACGAAAGAGAAAGAAACAAATCGCTCAAAAAACATCAACGACTACTTTTCAAAACGCTCAAGCAGTACCAGCATCCTTCTCCCCACTCCTCTCACCAGGGTGTCCACCCTGCTGCGCCGCCTTCTTAGCACCCTCCTGTGCCTTATCTGCTGTACCTTTCGCCTTCGCACCCTTCTTGTTCTTATGGAAGAAGCTCTTAAACGAGCTAAGCTTGGCAACGCGGAAGAGGTAGTAAGTGAGAACAGCAATAGCGGCGTTGAACCCGATGAAAGCAAAAATGATGCCAAAGTTCCTCCACCTTTCGCCGTAGTAGATCGAAGAGCCGGCCAAGAACTGGTCCGCGTTGGCAAGGGAACAGTAGTTGCAGCC